TTAGGAAGTTGTGTCCTGGAGAACAGTTATCTGGCGCTGGCCCCACTGGTGGATTTTTAACATTTGAACTATTCTTTCCTGGTTTTTATTTTTAAGATGTGATCACTAGCTGAGGACACATGCACTGTTGTTTTTTTTGTGGGTTTTTTTTTTAATGTTTTTATTGATTTCAGATTTCAAAGAGAGGAAAGGAGAGGGAGAGATAAAAACATCAATGATGAGAGAAAATCATCGATCGGCTGCCTCCCTCCCGCACACCCCCTACTGGGGATCAAGCCCGAAACCTGGGCATGTGCCCTGACCTGGAATTGAACCCTTGTTCATGGGTCAACACTCAACCACTGAGCCACACTAGCCGGGCATGAGTTTTCATCTCAACTATCAAAGGACAAACTTTCATGCGAGGGAATGTTGTCTGAAACTAATCCGAACTGTTCAGTCTAGAACAGCGGTCGCCAACCTTTCAGACCTCACGGACCACCCGTGTCCACAGAGCCCCGGTTGGCGATTGCTGGCCTAGAAGACTGTCAGTGCTATGGTGGTATCACAGTATAGTACTCCAAACAGAAACACTTTACACTAATGGAAATTAATAGAAAAGTTTAAGATAATAATAGCTTTTATTATTTTTCTTTCAAAATCCTTACCTGAGGATATATTTTTTACTGATTGGAGAGTGAGAGAGAGGAAGAGATAGAGAGAAACATCAGTGTGAGAGTGAAAATCAGTCCATTGCCTCGGGAACGAACCTGCATCCCCGAGGTGTGCCCTCCATCAGAATGGAATCCAAGACTCTTCTGTGCTCAGGATGGTGCTCCAGCCAGCTGAGCCGCACCGGCCAAGGCGAGGGTCCTTTTTGCTGAAAGGTTTTGAAACGATGTAGCAAACAAACTCTTCTTAAAGCTACCTTTTTAGTTCACTTTCTGTGAAGTCATATAGGAGCCAATGACATCTGATCCAGAGATGTGATGGGCAAATGTTGCAATAGCTGGTCTCCCGGTGAAATAGAATTGGGACGACAGCGGGACAGATCAAGTCCTACCCTCAGGCGCATCGTTTTGTCTGCTCATTCCTCTCCCAGCCTCCATCATCATCATCTTTCCTTCTGTGGTTAGGCCTTGGCAATCGTGCCCGGCTTCCAGGAGGGCTGCTAGAAGGCTGTGTGTCTTTTCCTCTCTGTCATCCCCGCTGTCCCAGACGCTGGCCGCACCCTTCCTGCCTGTGGCTCCTGGCACCGCGGAGCCCAGCGCCCAGGCCACGCTGTGAAGCATGTTGTGTCACATGTCACCGGGGGCCGCTTTTCTGCTCAGCCGCAGGCAGTATCCCGTGTTTGCCTTAAAACCACGGGGAAAAGGGTCGAACAGCCTTGAAGTACCTGGGTCTTGTAGTTTCTCACAGAAACAGGAAGCAAGAGAGCTTCTGCAGAGGTAGAGGTGTGCATACGTGTATGTGAGTGCATGTGTGTGTGCATGTGTTCATGTGTGGGGTGTGTGTGTGTCTGTGTGTGTGTGCACGTGTGTGTGTGGTATTAAAAGGGCACTGCAAAGATTTTGAAGGCTCCCAGGCTTCCTTGGGAAGTCTTTTGTCAGGCAAAAATAAAATGAAAGTCCATGATTTCAAAATAAAGTCATTAACATTCACTGACTTTATACCAAATACTCAGCTCGAGAATGCCCAGGCTGTGGTTGCTGTGACTGTTCTTATTCTTGCTTCACTCACTGAGGCTCAGAAGCTTGCCTGAAGCCCTGCTCTTCCTCCTCCGCCTGTGTTCCTGGGGTTTGCCTGGTCCTCGTGTTGCATCTGGAGCCAACTTCTTGCTGAGGGGTGATCTTACCAACTGAGCTACCCAGCCAGGGCTTCACAAAGTTATTTTATTTTAGCTTAACATTCAACAAAATTCCCACTTTGCGATAATTCTGTGTATTTTAGCACAGTCTTGATACCTGTAACTGCCACCACCATCAGGACACAGCTTGTCTGTACTCTCCCAAACTCCCAGTGTGAGCCCCTCTTCTCTCCCCGCCCCCCCTTTGCACCACTGACCCGCTGTTCCCCGGAGCTCCGTCTTGTGGGAATCTTATACAGGGGTCATACAGTGTGTAACCTTTGGAGGCCAGCTTCCTAGCCTCAGCATCATGCCGAGAGAGCCGTCTGAATTATTGCCTGTTGCCATCGGTCACTCTTTCTGTCCCCGTGCGGGACTCCCCTGTGTGGGTGTGCCACGTCAGTCCATTTCACCAGGTGGAGCACACCTGCATTGTTTTCCATCTTTACCAAATGCGTGTGGAGCGCTGTGTCTCCAGAGTCGGTGCCCGGGGATTGCGAGGTCCCATGGTAAGTGTATGTTCAACTTTCTGAGGAGCCGCACCGCGTTCTCCAGGGTGGCCAGACCGTCACTGTGCCCACCGGCCGGGCAGCAGAGCTGCCCTCGCCCCGTATCCTCACTGCCTTTGGCTTTGTCAGCATTTTGTGTCTGAACCACTCCAGCAGGGGTGCCGTGCTATCGCACTGTGGGCTCATGTGCATCTTCCTGATGGCTGCTGCCATGGAGCCTGTTTTCATAGGCCTGTCTGTGCTTGGAGGAAGTGGATCTCCAAGTGTTTGCTGTTAGCGCCCGTGTTTTGTCCATTTTGGGTTTGTTCTCATCTTATTTTCTCTTCTCTGGAGAATGTGTTCCGTGTCTTGATTCTTCGACACCCTGGGTGTCCTCGGGTTGCACCTGGGCGTGATGAGTGTTCGGAGGCGGACACTCTGTTCTCTGCTCTCTCTAACGAGCGCTGTTCCTGTGTCCCAGGGGGACCTTCCTCGTTGGACTGGAACTGCGAGCTCTGTTTCTAGGCTGCGGCTCCAGCCCCCGCCTGAGCTTCTGTAGTCAGTTAGCTGGGTGGTTAGCTAGCTGGGTGGTTAGTTAGCTGGATGGTTAGCTAGCTGGATGGTTAGTTAGCTGGATGGTTAGCTAGCTGGATGGTTAGTTAGCTGGATGGTTAGCTAGCTGGATGGTTAGCTAGCTGGATGGTTAGTTAGCTGGATGGCTGAGTCTGAGGGACCCTGTGTGTGAACGGACAGTTTGGGGATCCCCTCTCTGGCTTTTTCCTTCCTGGGATTTCCCTGCGCTCTTTGGTGTTCACCATCCTCGGACATCACTTTCGGGTTTCCTTAGGGATAAAACTGACGGTTTTCCACATGTGCCCTCCCCGGTCATGTGCGCTCAGCTCTGGCCGTCCACAGAAAAGGGCATCGTTGTCCGTTGGCCTCCGCCAAGCACGCGCAAAGCCCCGTCAGAATGTCTGTGCTGCTGGGCCCACTTCCTGAACTAGCACTTGCTTTCTGCAGGCGGTGCTGTCCCACAGGGTCTGCTGTACCTGGAAGCAGAGCGACTCTGTGCTGTGCGCATGTTAGCCAGGAGACGCAGACAGAAGCAGGCACAGGAGCTGTCAGTGTGTAGCGAAGCTCTGAAGGGAGAAAGGAGGTTGAGGTATTGCCAGGTGGCAGCAATAGTAAGGCTGTTTAAAAGGCTCTCTGGCCAAAACTGGTTTGGCTACGTGGATAGAGCGTTGGCCTGCAGACTGAAGGGTCCCAGGTTCGATTCCGGTCAAGGGCATGTACATTGGTTGTGCGCACATCCCCGGTAGGGGGTGTGCAGGAGGCAGCTGGTTGATGTTTCTCTCCCATCAATCTTTCTGACTCTCTATCCTTTTCCCTTCCTCTCTGTGAAAAATCAATACAATATATTTTTAAAAAATAAATAAAAGGCTCTCTGAAGGGCTCCCACTTGAATGGAGACGTAAAGATCGGGGACTTTGGTTATGGGAAAAGCTGGTTGAGAAATGCTTTAACCAAAGGTGACAGCAGATACAGAAGCCCTCAGCAGGGAGGGAGGTGCCCCAGGGGAGAACGGCATAAAGCGGGGGTCAGGGAGGCAGGGACGATCACGCAGGCCTGGGGCACCTGCGGAGGAATGGGAATCAGCGATTCCGTACAAGAACATGTGGTTACCATGGCTGCGGGTACGCACACCGCACAGTTTGACCCCTCATACTGCTGGGGCAGCGTGGCCAGCCCCTAAAAGTCTTGCCTGATGGATGGTGTGGCCGCGTGACTATCTGACCACCTGCGTGTTGTTGGAGCAACAGCTGGAAGACGTGCACTGGGTTGGGCAATGTGTGGGGAGTTGGAATAGACAGGTTCGCGTACCCCTCTACCTCCGAGGTTCTCTGATATCTACCGATTGAGCTAGCCGAGCATGCTCTACCAACTGAGCTAGCTGGGCGCAGTACAATGAAAACAGTTTAAAATATGAGGCGCACGGCCCTGGCTGGGTGGCTCAGTTGGTTGGAGCATCAATCCCGTACACCAAAAGGTTGCAGGTTCGATTCCTGGTTGGGGCACATATGGGAGAAACTGATGTTTCTCTCTCACATCGATGTTTCTCCTTTCCTATCTCTCAAAAAATCAATAGAAACATATCCTCAGGTGAGAATTAAAAAATAATAATCCTATACAATAAAAGGATAATATGCAAATCAACCAAACTGCAGAACCAGTTGCTTTAACATGCACTGACCACCAGGGGGCAGAGTCTCAGTGCAGGAGCTGCTTCCTGGTGGTCAGTGTGCTCCCACAGGGTAATGCCACTCAGCCAGAAGCCAGGCTCAGCGGTAGGAGCCTCTCCCGCCTCCACGATAAGAGTCTAAGCCATTGGTCGGCCATCCCCTGGGGGCTCCCGGACTGCCAGAGGGCACGGGCTTGGCTGAGGGTCCTCCCCGCCGAGTGCATGAATTTAGTGCACCGGGCCTCTCGTAACAAATAAACAATGAGGAGCACTCCCACGGCGGAGGAAGACTGTAGTACGATAGAAGGAAGCGTAGCCCTTTGTAGGAAAGGCCCCACGTGATTCTGCGGGAAGGCCGTCCCCGTGGGGTTTAATTACTTCGCCACGGCGATGGCTGGCCCCCCTGGGGTGTGCGTGGGGACTCACTCGCTCCTCTCCTTGGGTTCAGATGACAGCGCCTCGGCGGCGAGCAGCATGGAGGTGACGGACCGCATCGCCTCCCTGGAGCAGCGGGTGCAGATGCAGGAGGACGACATCCAGCTGCTGAAGTCGGCGCTGGCGGATGTGGTGCGGCGGCTGAACATCGCCGAGGAGCAGCAGGCCGTGCTCAGCCGGAAAGGACCTACCAAAGGTGGGTGGTTGCGTCACCGGAGGCGAGGGGGTCGGTCTCCTGGGCGCCTGGCCCGGCCGGCGCACCACTGCAATGCTGCCGGGAGCCCACGGCAGAACGAGATGCCTCAGCCTCCGCGTGGACGGTCACCCCGCAGCGCAGGCAGGGTTTCCTTGGTGCTGCTGGTGACGTGCGGCCCAGAGGGGTCAGTTGTCAGTGGCCGGTAAACACTCCGTGGGCTGAGGCATGACAGCTGTTCGTCCATATTCTCTGCAATAGAGCTCAGGTGCAAAGACCCCGCCCCCCCGGGGGTGCCCTGGGGAGGCGTTGGCCCCTCTCAGTGCCCACCTCACACCTGGGCCTGGGCCACACGCCAGGCTCGGAGCCAGCCCTCCCCGAGGAGCTCAGAGCCCTGAGGTTTATCCTCGCCCCCTCAGACACGCACACGCACTCACGTGCACACGCGTGCGCACACACGCGCACACACACACTAGCTAGTGAGCTCCTCCTGGGCACCCTCTTTTCCGCACCCTTTTTTCCTTTGTCCCCTTCTCTGCTCAGCCGCCCCCAGGCTCCTGGGCCCCCGGGGCTTCTGGCAAATTGAAACCGGTTTCATCTCCCCGGGGCACAGAACAAACCATGACAAAAGCAGTAGTTTTGTTTAAGTCACTTGGTAGTGACCTCCTTTTGGAAATTTTGGGAATAAACTGCCTCCTGACAGCCTCTGTCCAGCCAGCCAGTGCCCTGCTGTCTGCTCCCAGCCCATACGCGTGGCTCCCCTTTGGCCAGAATGGCTCTTCCGCGTGGCCAGCACTCGAAAGCGGAATTAAATTCCTCTTGTCTGTGGAATTCCTTCCGTTAGAACATTTGAGATTGTGGCCTGTAATGTCCTTTTATTTATTTATTTTTAAAAATTGACTTCAGAGAGGAAGGGAGAGAGAGATAGAAACATCAATGATGCGGGAGAATCATTGATCGGCTGCCGCCTGCGCACCCTACACTGGGGTTGGAGTCTGGCAACCCAGGCTTGTGCCCTGACCGGGAATCGAACCCTAACCCCCTGGTTCATAGATAGAGGTGCCCAACCACTGCGCCACGCCGGCCAGGCTGTAATGTCCCTTTAAAATGTCCCTTTGGGTTTGGAATGAGGAACCTGGTTCCTTATTTCACTTGGATTTGACAGGTGACTCCCAGTGCCCGTGTTTTCCCGGAGTCGGGAGGGGCCCTGTCTCCCGCAGGGCAAGCTGCTGCTCGGAGACAGGGCTGTGCTCACGTTTCTGTGGAAGGAAGTCTGTTTCTCTGTCCTTCGGGTCCTCACCGCCCGGCCCTGTGAGATACCCACGCCGGCAACGTCTGCAATTTGAATAATTCTTTTAAGTAATCTTTCTCTCCTGAGTGGCAGAGCAATCGGGCGTTTTAAATAGAAACCGAGCTATTCTAGGTATGCTTGACCTACTCAGCTTTCCCAAAATAATTCTGATGACTACTGTATCCTGAAGGGTGCATTCGAGGTAGTTGCTTCATGTAAAACTTCTGCAATGTCTTTATTTTTATAAAATTGGGGGGCCGGGATCATAAGAGAAGGCTGTCCAGGCGATACCTTTTCTTGATTCACAGTAAAGTTCTCCCTGGCGGGTGGGGTTCAGTGATTGGAGGGCCAGCCGGCGCCCAAAGGACCTCAGGTTCGATTCCCGGTCAAGGGAACATACCTGGGTTGTAGGTTATAGTCCCCCTCTCTTCCTCCTCCCACCTCCTGTTTACTCTCTTTAAAAATCAATGGAAAAAATATCCTCCAGTGAGAATTTAAAATAAAAATAAAAAGTGAAGTCTGATTTTTATAAAACTCCTAGGAGAAATCATTGTTTTCATGGTTATGGCCGATGTTTCTCGTTCCCTCCTCTTTATGAGAGAGTAAATCAAAGCAGAACAGCCAGAAGGTCTGGGCAAGGAGTGGAGAAAGACCCTGGAGGCCATGCAGGGTGGGCCCTGAGGGAGGCCTGGTTCTCCCTGCTCCCCCGCCGCTCCCTCCACACCGGACGCTGGAGCAGGGGCGGGCGCGCTTCACCGGCGCCGGTGCTGTTGCTGCCAGGGCCCGCGTTGCCCACACGTGCCCCTCGGCCTGGAAAGCGGGCACCCCGTAGCCCTGATCTGGTTGGGGAATCTTTTAGAGAAGATGGATTTTAGATAAACCTCCTCTGGCTTCTAAAAGGCCACATTGTTTCACTTTACACTGGCTGGCCATCCCCATACAGGCCTGAACTGGACTGGACATGTGGCATTCTGACTTTTAAATATTCAGTGATCCCCTCTCCCCACCCACCTCAAGGTTAGCGGTCAGAGCTGAGGGCTCTGTTTTGCGCTTGTGTTGTAGTGTACCCTGAATCTCACAAAGGACGCCTCAATCACGAAGCCGAATTAAGGAGTCATTTATTAAAGGCCGGCGGCTTACAAGGGGGCACTCAACACTCCAAATCTCGCAGCCCTGAAATGCTCGCCAATTCTGGCGTATATACAATATCACAAAGGTATCAATTACATCTTTGGGTTTGGAATGAGGAACCTGGTTTGCATAAAGCAGTTGCAGAAGCGAAATTGAGCAAGTTAGTTCTCTGTAAAGATTAAGTATAGTTTTGGGTCTTGGGACCACTGAGTCAACCGGAACACATTATCTGGAGCAATTTAGGGTAACTGTGCTGTCCTGGTTCCCAGGTACAGAGGAATGTGCTTCGATAACCAGTGAGATCACCATCAGTGGGATATTCAAACCACCATCCATGGAGTACCAATCGATTGGGATAGCAGACATAAGTTCAGAAAATCAAAATACCTTTTCTGTTGTTTTAGCAAGCAAATAAGTACAGAACCCAAAACAGCAGGGTTAAAGTTAAAGCTAAAGCTGCAGTTTCTACCTGAGATGATTGCTACCAGGCTTCACTTGGTGCACATCGCTGTGGGTTCGCAGCGGCAGGAACGGTGGCCGGGCCGCAGTCAGCATCCAGCGCTCAGAGCAGGTGCAGGGTGAGCCGTGGCCGGCGCTGTCCTGTCCCCGGCTGTCAGACTGCCCGTCCTCTCACTGGCCTCAGCGTGGCCTGCGGGGCTGTGAACGATGGTTCAGTTCCTCTCCACTCGCTGGAGGGAAGGCAGGCCGTCTGAGCGGGGGACTCACTGGTCTTCCTTCGTAGGACTGAGCCAGCGTGACAGTGAGAGCTGTGGTCTCCGACAGGACCCACTCAGATCAAGTGCGAGGCTTCCTGAGACGGGAGACTGGCCACCCCACACATGCCTGCGGGCCAGAGGCAGTGTGTCTCAGGCTATTCTCCTTTTTTTTTTCTTACAACATTCTCCCTTCCTGAGAATGGCCTCCTGCACTCATTCTCCAACGCTGCTAACCCCGCGATACTGGCTCTTGGGCCAGGCTCAGCCGAGCCCCTCAGGCGGTGCTCTCTCTTTTTCCTTTTCCTTTCACATATTTTCTAACATTAGGAACTGGTTGCCCTCGCCTGTGTCTTTACTGTGGAGAAGGTCTGCCTGCAAAGTTAGCTTTGTCCAGGGTGGGCCCACAGGCAGACGGGAAGATTTGCCAACGGGGGTTCCCATAGAGCGGAGGCGCGAGAACCAGCCCGCTGGCAGGGCAGGCATTCTGAAACTCCCGCTAACACTCAGGTTTTCTCAGGGTCGTGGCTGCGCGGGGCTGCACTCACTGCTGGAAGAATGACAGGAACTGCCCCTTTCTCTGTTGCTGTTGTGAGTGTAAATACAGAATGTGTACAGTGTATAAAGGGGCTCATTGTGGCCTTATGCACAAGGGGGCATTGGATGGGAAACAATAGGGAAGCAAGCACCGGGCATGGCCAGAAAACTGGCTCCTCCTAACGAGCTGCCACTCATTAGCGGGCCTGGGGCTGAGTATCTTTAAAAATGTCTGATTGGTCACAACAGGGAAATGCTCGTGTATTATGTTTTTGAATTAGGAGTCCAAAGCAGGATATCAAACTGTATACACTGGGTCATTCCAATGGCATAGCCCAAAGCTGTGCAAACATCTGAAAGCACTATACCGACAGTTATTACTGGTTTTCCCCCTCAGTGGTAGGAATAGGATCTTTTTCTTGTAGTTTTTGTTTTTGTTTTTATGTTTTTACTTTTAGTTGGCTTCTCAAAGTTCTTTGATGTATATTCCTTCAAAAGCAAAAGACATTTCTGTCTAAAAGCGACTCCGTCCTCACCGAACCTGACCTTCAGTGCTCAGAGGCCAGCGGCAGGCTCTCAGCTGACTTCCGGGCCTGGAGTCAGCTCCCGTGCTTCACGAATTTGTTAAGTGAATAACGGATCCATGCACACGTGCTCGGCTAACTTCTGTCAGTGCCAGGAGGGCGGCGTGGGCTTTCACATGTGGAATGTGGGCTGCAGTGTAGGTGTTGCCCCAGCATCTGGGCTGTGGGCTTCGTTGGCATTACCCGGCGAGTAGCTCCTGAGGCTCACTTTAACTTTGCTGGGATTGGACAGCTTGCCTTTTGTAAACTTTCCTGTCCCTTCGCAGGCTTTTTTATTAGCAGCCATATTGGTGACCAGAGACTTAATCAATCTACCCAAACACCCTGGTGGCGGTGCCAGTGACCTTTAACAATGTAGGCTCTGCTACCGGGCACTTCTCCTAATGCTTAAAATGTCACCGCGGCTGCCACTCACTAGCCGGCCCGGCCGGGCTTTGCAGTAGATATTTGGGAAGACCAGCTCACCTCACCTCCCACATCCTCTGTGGGAAGTGTTAACATGCCCATTTCAGAGAGGAAGAAGCAGCCTCCAGGAGACTGAATAATCTTCCCTAGGCTACAGGACTAGTGAAGCGGGGGATCTGAGTGTGGACCCCAAGCCCGATGGACACACGAGGGGGTTCTTTCCACCATCTTGCTGTGGTCACCTCTTGGCAATATTATTTAAATGAGATTATTCAAATGAAGTCAAATATTTAATCAATGAATAACTATATGACTAGCAATGAGAGTTCTTTTCTCAAGAAC